GCTAGAAAACTATTTATTGAAAGAACGTTTCTTTCTGGCAAGTACTTTACTATATTTCAGAAAGGCATGCCGTCGCTTAGCAAAATAAGTCAATCAAGGCAGAGGGATGTTCCAAAACCGCTGTAAAAAGAACTTTGTATCTGCGTAAAATGACCGATCTTGATAAGCATATTTACATTACTTTTTAAAAAGCTATCATGTCAAAGAAATAAGAAATTTGTACGTCTCAAACCAGTAAACAAAATACTTCAATATTATATACACAACTTATCTGATTACAGTTAAACCATACTAGTACGGAAACCTTGTGGTAAGGCCTAGCGTGTTGCGAAATGTTGTTGAAAACTTTTCTGAATGCTGTAACCAAAACAAACAAACAAACAAACAAACACACGCCTCTTAAGAGAAGTAGAATACGCAGCGGACTGAGACAAACCGCCAGTCTCCATGGGAGACAGCTGTAATGACATACAAACAAGATTAAGTATGGGGAAACGTTTTATTTGAAGAGTGAGTGAGTGAGTGACATACAAACAAGATTAAGTATGGGGAAACGTTTTATTTGAAGAGTGAGTGAGTGAGTGAGTGAGTGACATACAAACAAGATTAAGTATGGGGAAACGTTTTATTTGAAGAGTGAGTGAGTGAGTGAGTGAGTGACATACAAACAAGATTAAGTATGGGGAAACGTTTTATTTGAAGAGTGAGTGAGTGAGTGAGTGACATACAAACAAGATTAATTATTGGGAAACGTTTTATTTGAAGAGTGAGTGAGTGAGTGAGTGAGTACATTTGATATAACGATATTTGATATATCCTGCTAATTTGACCTTTATGACCTCCATGAAGATATCCCTGGATGCAAGAACGGAGTCAGGTCAAGGCACAATGTAAAACTGTAGAGCGTTACTTCAATTGTCACCTCCATAGCGTTGAATCTCAGAGTTGTGAAGTGGATAAGTCTTATCGTTTCAACAACATTAAAAAACCCGTTACCGGTAACCCTTTTTTGAAAGCGAATTCTTCCAAATGTTGCAATATCAGTCCGCGCTGATAAAATACACCTCACGTAATTTTTAATAAAAATATTTTCAGCATTGGTGCTTGGAGTGAGGGAGTGAATGAGTGAGTGAGTGAGTGAGTGTTAATTACAACTTGACCGCCGGGCAAAGGAAAGACTCAAGTTTTTTTTCTTGGTTTTGACCCAAAATTGCAAACGTTTCTAGGCAGAAAACAGTCGCCGAAACACTGCAAACACAAGGTCCAAGACACAACTATGATACCTGTATTAAGTACATCACCATCGAATAACCATCCCTTGTTTGTTCTGTTTTAGGCACCATCAAACAAGGGTGTATACATTCTGAATATGATGGTGATGTATTTGATACGGGTATCATGGTTGTGTTTCGGTAACTGTTTTCAGCCTAGTAACGTTTTGATAACGTTTGTAATGTTTTGGGTGAAATCCAATTTTCAAGTGTATACATTTGACCGGCAGGTTACTACGATGCGACGTACCCTGAGCACAACGGAGCGAGATTTGAACCATCACACTGTATTTACACAGGACCCAGTAACAATATTTAGCCTCCTAGAATCCTGTGTTGGACAGAATGACCTTGAGGATCCCCAGTGTCTTGAAGACAGTTTGTCGTTTCATTTACAAAAAAACAATCTCAGCGTTAACTCAAGTACTTGCGGTAGTATCGCGATGACTATCATAATCCCATTATAGCATATACTTACGATATTCGTAGAGATAGGTGCCCGATCTTCAAAGTGACCTCAGCTCAAGGTTGATCTTAATTAACGAACCTACACTTACCTCCGACAGCTGTAGCGTTTAGATCGCTTTGTGGAACGAACCCTGCTCTGTGATAGATAATCCTGCAAATAATCGAATTTTCATAAGGCAAACCATTATTGTGGACCATGTTACCAATGTTCCCGTGTTAGCGCGGGTGAACACTTGCTGCGCCTTTGAACGTGTTTGTGATGCTCATAAACTCATGCTCATGGTAAAGTCGGAATCGCACAATAGAAACTGCTTCCAGGAGAGATGTCTTGTGATTATTGTCACCTACTGTATGTGCGTTATGTGTCACCTATGTTTACACACAGATCTCAACTAGCCGATAGTTCTTATTTTGTCGTGCAGCACAAACATGCCTAAAGACAAACCCTTCCGAATTCTCAACTGTTGGATGTTTTTGTAAATATATTTTTAGCAAGATGGTTTGCTAAGTAAACCAGACTTTTTTCCTATGTTAACCGAGATTATAAATCATAAAAATGTTTGTTTGAATAACCGATTTATGAAATTAATCGAACTGGAAAACAATAAGTTCTTTCTTCCAGTAAAAAAGAACAAACAATAATTTCTGTGGCAATGGCAAATTGTTTCGAGGCGAGAAGATGCATATGATAGAACAGTAAATAATGTTTGCATAATAATCATGCATAAATAAGAGTGATGTAATATACTGATGTGTTTCGGGGGAACGTCCTAAGTACAGATAAATATAAAACTATTAGTAAATGTATTTCCATTGATGTTGGAACAATTCCAATCAGGTTTGTGGCTTGCGTCATTTTATCTCGGTCATACATTCACAGTGTACGTGCACTTTCAGGTCGGCACGTACTAACGTTTGATTAACAATATCATTTAAAACAACAAGCGCACAGCTCCTACGGGACACCAAAAAGTCAACACCTTGTGAGGAATCCGGGGTAGACTTGAATGTTATGCTGCTTGTAGGGGGACTAAATGGATCGGGTGGTCAGTCTCGGTGACTTGGTTGTTATGCTGCTTGTAGGGGGACTAAATGGATCGGGTGGTCAGTCTCGGTGACTTGGTTGTTATGCTGCTTGTAGGGGGACTTAATGGATCGGGTGGTCAGTCTCGGTGACTTGGTTGTTATGCTGCTTGTAGGGGGACTAAATGGATCGGGTGGTCAGTCTCGGTGACTTGGTTGTTATGCTGCTTGTAGGGGGACTAAATGGATCGGGTGGTCAGTCTCGGTGACTTGGTTGTTATGCTGCTTGTAGGGGGACTAAATGGATCGGGTGGTCAGTCTCGGTGACTTGGTTGATTGCGTGCCATTGTACCCCAACGGCGTGGCTCGTTGCTCACAATATCAATCACCGGTTTGTCTAGACCAGGCTCGACTATTTACAGACCGTCTTAAACCTGTAATAGTACTCAGTGTTGTAAACGAAATTGCGTATTGCGAAAGATAAATCTATAGCTATCTTGTGAAGTTAGACGATGTTGTGAAGAATAAAAGTACCTAGCGCAATTCGACCCGTGAAGATCCGGGATAGAATAGGTTTTCAGCAATCCATGCTTGCCGTAAAAGGCGACTGTCATAAGAGGCGACTAACGGGATCGGGTGGTCAGGCTCGCTGACTTGGTTGATGCATGTCATCGTATCCCAATTGCGTTGATCGCTGCTCTTGATATCAATTCCTGGATTGTTTGGTACAGACTCGATTATTTACAGACCGCCGTCATATAGCTGGAATATTGCTGAGTGCAGCGTAAAACAACAAACCAACCATCAAGTCTGCGACTTTCAATAAAACATTTCGGCCGATTTGGCTTCCATATGAGGCCAGCATGATTGACAGGCAATGCTATAACTTCCTTATTCCAATGTCCAGAGTCCAGTCATACGCTGTATCGCGACAGGGTATTTGTCCAGGAGGAAGGTCACGATATTGTACACGGCACCGCATGAAATGCAGACAAATGCAATGTTCAGGTGCCTTATTTTTAAATCACTTAGAATCAAAACAGACAGAACCAAAATCTGCATTCACCAACAAAAGACAGTATTTTCCAATTCGTGTAAAAAGAACCAACGCATTTTCTTCTCATACACTGACATATATTTGCATCACTTTGTATTGCTACACTATCTCAAAATATGCCTCGCACAGTGACTGGGGTGCTGGATTAGCCTAGACGTCAAAGTTCTCGCTCGTTACGCCAAAGACCCGGGTTCCATTCTCCACATGTGATCAATGTGTGAAGCCATTTCCGATGTCCATTGCTTGATTATTGCTATAAGCGGCGTACAAAAAATACTCAGTCACTAGTATTGCGACACAACGTTTTGCATAGTGTTAAGCATTTTGTTGTTCTATAGTGTTAATTAATTGCGTAACACATAGTGTTATTGCATAGTGTTATGACATTGTGTTATTGAATTGTCTTACTGCATGGTGCTATTACATTGTGTTATTGCATTGATATTGTGGTGTCTTATTGCATTGTGTATTGTATAGCGTTAATGCATTGTATTATTGCATTGTGTTACTGCATTGCATTATTGCATCATTGTATTGTGTTATTACATAGAGTTATTCAGTAGCGGGCTGAGTTTTCTATTCAAAAGTGTGCGGAGTATAAAACTGTAAAGTTAATGGCATAACCGTGACCTGTTGTCGATTTCACATGCGGGGTATATACACTATTTATATAGATATACATTGAAAGTAACCCTGAAGGTATTACGATATATAACAGATAGACAGATATCTAGGCTTAAAACACGACGTGACATCATCGCAGACTGACGTCATGTCTGTATGACCTTATATGACAATGTGATTGCACATTGCGGCCAGCAAATAAATAACGTGTGGACCTGCCATAGATCAGATTCCTACAAATATATATGTTGTACTATATATGTTCACTGACACAATATAGAGAATAGGTTTTCAGCAACCCATGCTTGCCATAAGAGGCGACTACGCTTGTCGTAGGAGGCGGCTAACGGGATCGGGTGATCAGGCTCGCTGACTTGGTTGATGCATGTCATCGATCCCAGTTGCGTTGGTCGATGCTTTCGACGTCAATCACTTGATTATATGGTCCAGACCTGATCATTTACAGACCGCCATCATATAGTAATATTGCTCAGTGTGGCGTTAAACAACAAACAAACAAACTGACACAATAATGAAATATATTCGTTATATTTCAGCATTGGTCACGTGTCAGACATGGAACCAGGCGACTCTCAACCTCTTCAGCCAGCATCTGAAGGTCAGCTGGAAGGTCAAGGACAACACCCAAAATGAACTGACGACACAAGTCGAGGTGACCTTGACCAACGAGGGGTCAAAGACGCTGAGCAAAGAAGACCAATGGGGGATATACTTCGACTGTATCTATATGATAGAGCCAGGGAACCTTCCACACCCGGACGGGTATGTTCTACCCGGGCAAGGAATTGTTGTCACCCATCTCACGGGAACCCATTTCAAGATGGAACCAACAGAAGACTTTTTGGACTTTCCTCAAAAGAAAAGTAGAAAGATCAAGTTTAAAATGCAGTACTGGTCAGTGGCCATGACGGACATCATGCCCAATTGGTATATCATAGCACCCCTTCTGCAGCCCATGGTGATTCAGAGTACGGTTGGGAATAAACTGGACTTTGTTGAATCTTTCGGAAACGTGGAACAGTTTAAGAGGTACGATTACGACATGTATTCTCCTTACACCGCTCAAGAGAGGTACGCAAGGAACAGAGTTGAGGATATTTTTGAGGATGATGAAATCCGAATAGTTCCTCGGCCCCATCAGGTGAAGGTCGACAGAGAAGTTAACATGACCTTCGACACCTCGACATGGAAGATCCTCGCACCGGACACCCTCAATGAAGAGGCAGCTTATTTAAGAGGTACACTAGCCTACGTCTATAAAAATTTATGATTAGGGGACTGATGACATACTTTCCTTATAAGTCAGTGCTTTGAAAGGAGTATCTGAACTTTGTTTTTAAAAAAAACCCCAAAAACCCAGTTTTTTTAGGACTCGCAACATGCCAAGCGAAAATTATGGTTTAGTAAAATCGGGTGGTCAAATCATGTTTCCATTGTTTACAACTGAAACACTGCTCAAAGCGGCATTGAACCCCAAATCACTCACTCACGCTATGGGGGACACGGGTGGCCCAGTCGCCTAAGGCGCCGTGATTCGCTGTGCAGAGTTGCATCCCTTGGGTACGCCAGAAACCTATGATTGTGGTTTCGAATCCCGGTTCGCCCCGATTATGTTTCTAGTTTTGTATGATCTGGTTTTTGCCATGACCGCATCATGACCTTGTATTGTCTTTTTCATGTCATATGTATCATGTCGTATCATGTCATATGTATCATGTCGTATCATGTCATATGTATCATGTCGTATCATGTCATATGTATCATGTCGTATCATGTCATATGTATCATGTCGTATCATGTCATATGTATCATGTCGTATCATGTCATATGTATCATGTCATATGTATCCTGAGATATGTATCATATGTATCCTGAGATATGTATAATATGTATCGTATCATATGTAGCATATGTATCATGTCATATGCATCATATGTATCCTGAGATATGTATCATATGTATCGTATCATATGTAGCATATGTATCATATCGTATGTATCATGTCATATGTATCATGTCATATGTATCATATGTATTCTGAGATATGTATCATATGTATCGTATCATATGTAGCATATGTATCATGTCATATGCATCATATGTATCCTGAGATATGTATCATATGTATCGTATCATATGTAGCATATGTATCATATCGTATGTATCATGTCATATGTATCATGTCATATGTATCATATGTATTCTGAGATATGTATCATATGTATCGTATCATATGTAGCATATGTATCATGTCATATGCATCATATGTATCCTGAGATATGTATCATATGTATCGTATCATATGTAGCATATGTATCATGTCATATGTATCATATCGCATGTATCATGGCATATGTATAATATTATATGTATCATGGCATAAGTATCATATCATATATATCGTGGCATATGTATCGTATTTTGTGTGTCCTATTATCATATCTTGTGTATCATATCATATGTATCATGTTAATATATATCTACCATATTTATCATGCCATATGTATGATATATATCGTATCATATGTAGGATGTCATATGTATCCTGCCATATTACCATATCATCATGTCATTTGTATCATATGTATCATTTGCGGAGTACCCTGAAATAACCCTGACCTTACTCTGTATGACCAGTGTTGCGTACTTACGTTACCCACGTTGCCGAACACAAGATAATGTTTGACGATAACGATGACGACTGCTGGGTAGGATGGTCCAGGGCTTCCTGGTGCAGTAACAAAGATACCACAATCTCCATCCACGCATGGAGTGTAATACTCAGTGACACCAATTCTCTGATAACAACTTGGAAAACTACATCCAACAGGTCTGAGCGAGATGGAGAATGACTGAGAGAATCCCGCACATCGTATTAAAGTTGGATTAAATTAAGTCCTGTTGATTCCAACTTCATGGCCCGCCAATAATGGTTGCATTGTTTCAGTTTCACACATGGCACTCACAAGGCTTCATGTCTCATGTACAACCCCATCCAACTCCACATGTGCCCCAGCCCAATGTGTATTTAGCACTTATACTCACATTTTATTTGTGCACCGCATTCCAACTTTTTGCACTCTCTTTATCATTAATATCATTGCGTTAAAACGCCCTGGTCAAGAAAGGGCGGATGCATCTCTGCATTCTTAAAGTCGCAGGAATTGTGTACAAAACTGCCTGGCAAAAGAAAGTATACACTTGAAAATTGGATTTGAACAAAAAAAATAAAACTGAAAACAGTCGCCTAAACCCTGCAAGCTAAGGCCCAAAACACAACTAATGATACCCATATAAAATACATCACCATCGTGTAACCATTTCTGGTTTGTTTAATTTTGGCCATCATCAACATGGTCGTATATTTTCTGTTGCTTGGAAGCTTATCTGAATTAACTAACAATTGGTGAAGAGAACATTCCTTCCTCACTATTCAGTGAGTTTAAAAAACATCATGAGAAAAACGAACATATATTGTGGCCAGACTTTGGGTGCAAATAGTCGTGTTGAGCATATTTGCCCTTTGCCAATAATATTTTACTTTAATAATATTTTTATTTCCATTTTTCAGAAAAAGCCAACATAGAGATCGGAGCTCCAACAGCCGAGTACGAGGTCATCCGCCTCCTCATGGAAGATGTCCATATCACTGGTGACGTCATCGCTCATAGCCCGGATGCTTACAGCCTCGATGTGGACCCAGCCAATCAGATCATCATCATCAAGGGCAACAGCCAATCGGGAGTTTTCTACGGCGTTCAAACGCTGCTGAATCTGATTGAAAACAATGGCGGTATTTTGTATGACACGTTCATCAAGGACGCTCCCCGGTTTGAGTATAGGGGCATGCATCTGGACGTGGCCAGGAACTTCCATTCCAAGGAAGACGTGATCAAACTTCTCGACCTCATGTCCATGTACAAGCTCAACAAGTTCCATTTCCATCTGACCGATGACGAGGGATGGAGATTGGAGATTCCGAAACTTCCCGAGCTCACCCAAGTGAGTGTTTAAAGTCCCCGAAAATGTCAAAATCGGGCTTGTGGTGTTAAAAGCTTGAGTTGCGTCCCATACACCAAGGACCGCCTCCGTGGTCTAGTGGTAGAGCCTCCGCCCGGAGAGCGGAAGGTCCAGGGTTCGATCCCGGGCCGCGTCATACAAAAAGACGTTAAAAGATTGTACTTGTTGTTACCCTGTCTGGCGCTCGGCATTAAGGGGCTCAAACAAGGACTGGTCGGCTCGGAGTCAGTATACTGTGTCTGAGTGGGGTATTCATGTTAAACTGCGGCATGGTATCTCAGTGAGCTAGCACTATAAATCGGCATCAGTCCGGACTAGTACAAGCAGCCACACACACACATACACGTGCATGCACGTCGCTATATAAGTGCAATAATCTTGGACGCGACGTTAAACCCAATTTCACCTCACCCCATACACCAAGACAATAAAGTGGCCGGATGGCCCATACTCGGCCGTTCCCTGGGACCGTGCAATTTTGTGAAGTTATTATGGTATACTAAACACAACTAAACCGGTTCCACTGATTGTATGCCCAGCAATCTGGGATATGGTGGCTAAAAGATGGCGGCCCAAAAATGTGGTAGAAGTCTGTGCCACACTCCTTCAGCCTGGTTCCGTGTGTTGGCAGCACTTGCGCTACACTCTGGGAAGCAGGCTGGGCACCGTTCATAACCAATGTATATAAACACGGAGAAATGTTTCCACCTGGAACGTTTCGGGCAACAAGATTATAACAAACTGCTCTGTTAATGTGGATTTTAGCTCGAACAACGGCACTTCACATATTCTGCTAGTTTCAGTTGATACCGAGGACTAATGAATGTAATGTTAAGGCGGTCGAATCGCAGCCAACGAAGAATCAGTCATTCCCAGTCTACTCGTTGACGTGATTTTGGCTTGAATATTCTGAATACGGCATTAAAAAACATTCGCTCAGTCTAGGTATAAAAGTGGATCCTATATTTTTATAGGAAGCAAAATACCTCCATCTTTTAATGTTTTTCTCACGTAAAATATATTTGTACAATTTCAGTTCGATTGCTGACTTGCTGGTTTTACCTTTGCTTCAGATCGGTGCCCGTCGTTGCTACGACATCGATGAGACAAAATGTCTGCTCCCACAGATCGGTTCGGGGCCGACGTTCACCACTTCCGGGTCTGGCTTCTACACCACGCGAGATTACCGCGATATCTTGAAGGAAGCCAAGCGCCGCCATATTGAAGTGATCCCAGAGTTCGACATGCCGGGTCACGCTCGAGCCGCCATCAAGGCTATGGAGGTCCGGCACATAAAGTACGCGCGGACTAACACTGAGGAAGCCATGAAGTTTAAGCTGGTTGAAGAAAACGACCCCTCGAAATACTTCTCAACTCAGATGTTTACAGATAATGCCATCAACCCTTGCCTAAACTCAACCTACGCATTCATCGAATACGTGATGGATCAGGTTCTTCTCCTTCATCAAGAGATTCAGCCATTAAGAATATTTAACTTCGGAGGCGATGAGGTCGCAAAGGGGGCGTGGGTCAACTCCACGGCGTGTCAGACGATGTCCAACTCAATAAAGGTGTCAACGACGAAGCTTAAAGAGCATTTCTTTACGCGGGTTGCGGAGCTTGCTGCATCCAAGAATTTGAACCTCGCCGCTTGGGAGGATGGACTGATGCATGGCGGGAGTGCAGTATACGACCGTGACCTTGCCGGAAGTGCTGAAGTCTACGCCTTTACTTGGGATAACGTGTGGGAGTGGGGTAGCGCAGGTCGGGCGTATAACCTGTCCAACCACAACTATAAGGTAAGCTTGCTGAAACCCATTTATGAACATGCCGAATGGTTATATAATGAACAATAAAGTTCATGAATCAGTGATAATGAAGAGAGTTTTATAAGATTATCCTCCAAAATATTCTCGATCCCTAACTGTTCGGTTTAGGATGGATATATAATGCACTGGATTACCGAGTTGGGATTCTTGGGCCAAAGTGTTTTTTAGTAATACTTTCATTCTCATAAGCTTGTCCAAATTTCGCTCGTACCATTGACGGATCGATATCGCCGGATAAGTATGCTTGCCATTCGTGACCAACTCGTGTTATTCCGGGACAAGCCGAATAGCGACTCGTGCTCCTTTCATGGCCATTTTTGCGACCGGGTTCCGTCTTAGCGCAAACGGGCATACCTAAAACAATTGTCAATTCCTTGCGAAATGGTTCACATATATTTCCCCATGTATTACATATATTTCAGATGCAATTTAAAGCACACAGGGATGTGCGGAATTATACAGTATAATTGAACACATTTTACTGTATCTTGGGTATATTTTTAGATGCAAGACATACGTAAAATCAAAAATTATTTCTGAGGGATTGTTTGACGAAGAACTTGAAATCATACGCGCAGTCTGATTGGTTTGTCGTATTTTCGCACATAACATTCATCGATAGGGGGACGAGTCTTCTTTCAGGTTACGGAAAGAGGCGAGTGGTGACGAATGGTATGCTGTCTATACACAGCAATTTTGGAAACTTCAAATATGTTTTGGTACTTGTCTAAATTGTCTAAGCTGCACTCATATGTGGTGCCCAGTTTACTATTCATGGTAAATAGCCATAGTAATGATGACATGTAAATTTGAATTGGGAAACATAGTAAATACAAATATAGCACCGGTCGACGTATCAGTATACATTCATGATATATTCTCAGCTCCCCGAGGAATATACAAAAATGAATGGTCACAATGTTTTTATTTAAACCACAAAAAGACATAATCCAAACTTTACAGATTCGTACATCATAATTATTATAAGCGACTTAGCATCTCATGAGCATGTGACTATAACTCACTTTCAAATGGTGATGAACAGACGTGTTCGCGAAAACGTGAACGTATAATACCTGAACAGTGGCACCCGTCACAAATGCATGCCAGGCTAGTCAAGTATTCACCAGAAAAAGACACGGGAACATATGGTACAAGTCAAGATAGGGAATTGTATCGGACATCATTTTTGTCACTGATGCGTCAAATTTGGAAAAGTTCCTTCAGTTGTATGTCTACCATGAAGCTTTACTGAGGCCTTAAATTTTGTATCTTGATCAAACAACTTTAGCGCCAGAGTTGTATGACGCTCTGTGAAATCTCCGTAGGAAGAGCATGTCTGATTGTATCTCGAAAGTTGTGAAATGTAATCACCAGGGGTTGGAGCTACAGGTACACTGCACGACATGGAGAGAAAGTTGAGGTGAGGTGAGGTTCAAGATTATTGGACTTATATAGCGACGTGTATGCACGTGTATGTGTGTGTGGCTGCTTGTACTAGTCCGGACTGATGCCGATATACTGTGCTAGCCCACTGAGATACCATGCCGTAGTTAAACATGAATACCCCACTCAGACACAGTACACTGACTCCGAGCCGACCAGTCCTTGTTTTAGCCCCCTAATGCCGAGCGCCAGACAGGGTAAAAAAAAGTACCTTCTTTTAACGTCTTTTGGTTTGACGCGGCCGGGGATCAAACCCCGGACCTTCCGCTCTCCGGGCGGACGCTCTACCACCAGACCACGGGGCGGTCAGGGAAAGTTGACTTCTGGAAAGGTGAAGTCATTCATCTTGTCACACAGTCTTGTGTAGAATTGTTTGTCATTTCGAATCTGTATAGATCTAGATATGAAACAAATGAGGCGGTCTCAAAGGTCTCCTTTATTTCTGGTTCAGGTGGGTAAATCAGTGGAAGGGAATTGGCTATTTGATGGTTATTGAAGGATATGAGATCATCGATATACCTGAAGGTTAAGAAAAACGTCGTGGCCAAATTACCTTGTTTTGACTTTTCCAATCCAAACAGAAATTCCTGTTCATATGCATAAGAAACAGATCAAGCAAGAAGGGGAGTACACTTGGTGCCAATGGGGATGCCTACATCTTGCCTAAATGTCTTACATCCAAATGTTTATATAGACGTTATCAATGAGGAAGTCCAGCATTTCACATATTGTTTTGTCAGTACATTTTAGATGGAGGTTGCTTTCATTTTTTATGAATTGATCCGAACCTCTGAAGATAGATATGTAACTGTATCTGTGGCCACCACATTTTGTAACCAAACCGCATTAATCAAGGAATGTCAATGGTGGTGTACAAGGAATCAAATCAATGTTTTGACAGCGTAGAACTTGTTCATTTCTGAGATTGGAAAATTTCAATCAAATCTTTGTGTTTTTGAGAATCCACATGGTATTAACTTCACTTGTCTCAAAGGCCTTCCTTGATTGTATTAAGGATTATGGTTAATCTATGAGACGGAGGTTCGGTGGTACATGTTCTAGGCCCAGCAATATTTCACAGATTTTTATGGAGCTTAAGGCACGTGGGGTGTTTATAAATTATTTGAATAGAGCAACTGTCCACGATCCACTCCGAAGTCTGAAATCAGCTGATTGTATTAAAGTGTTGACGATATCGATGTATTTCTTAATCAGACACACCATGTACACACTACCGCAAATTTACATTACCAAGTAAACAAATTTCCCAGCTAATATTTCTTGTCGGGAGTACAGCAAACGTCTAATGTTAGGAATGCAAGCATCAACGTTTAAAGTACGCGTTTTCCCTTGTACGCGAAGTTACAAATCTGCGAATTAAAAAATCGAGTTTAACACGATGTCGGCATCTTGCGAGATTCCCGAAAAAGCCTTATCCTGTCAAATGGAAAAGACCGAATTTCCAAACAACATTTCATTTTTATCACGAAAAAAACATTTTTATTAAGTTTCGAGGCAAGCTGACACTTACCGACTTTTGGCATAATTTGGAGGTTTGTGTATTCGGGACTTTTATTTTAGAATTCTAAGAAAAAGAAACGTTGTTTATTTTCCCTTTTTTTCAAGTCAGACATTGTCTAACCTATTTTTCAAATTGAAGTTCTATAGGTTCTATTTTAAAGTTGAAGTGACCTGCGATATTGGTATTCGTTTTTAGAGATAATCACACCCACCCACCCACCCGTGGGTATATATATATATATATATATATATATATATATATATATATATATATATATATATACAAAAATGAGGTAAATGTTCACTCGGTGTACATGTAATATATAATAAAATAATAAAGTCCACGTTAGTCCATCATCTTCTTTATATAAAGAAGATGATGGACTAACGTTGACTTTAACGTGGACTATATATATATAATCATAATATCAGTCCATCCATAAACTGGTGTCTATGTTTTTTAGGAATGTTTTAAATTCTTTTTATATGTTCCTGTTTCCATGACAATAAATTAGACTTCAGTGAAATCAGTAAGGGTTCTTTTCCAGAGCATAGCTCATTCACTATTTGTCTCTACACACTTATCTAGAGGGCAACTGGGGTCTTTGGTTATCTATTGTATATCTTCGAATTCCATCAAAATAAATGGAAAACTCCAAAGTATATATGACCATGCCCAGAGATCGTAGTATCACCGCCCAACTGAGCTAAAGGTACAAGTCTGCTGACAGCATGTAACTCAGTGTATGGTTCATTGTCATCGATTCCTTAGAACAAGTCCAAGGCGGCATGTGTAGCCTTACACTCAGGACCGCCTCCGTGGTGAGGTGGATACAACGTCGTCCCGGAGGACGCATATTTGGTAGTTCGATCCCCGGCCGCGTCATACCAAAGTCCTTTGAAAGATGGTACTTATTGTTACCGTGTCTGGCGTTCGGCATTAAGGGGCTAAAACAAGGACTGGTCGGCTTGAAGTCAGTATCCTGTGTCTGAGTGGGTTATTCATGTTAAACTGTGGCATGGTATCTCAGCTAGTATTCTCAAACAGGCATAGGCCCTGACTAGCACGCAGTCAATCACACGAGTGCATGCACGTCGCTTTACAAGTGCAATAATGAATGATCTTGAACGCGATGTTAAACACCATTCCACCTCACCATCTTACACTCAACATAATATGTCGACCCGGAGAGATTCGGGGTGGAATTGGTCTTCAGCAACCCATGCTTGCCGTAACAGGTGACTGTGCTTGTCGAAAGAGCCGACTAACGGGACCTGGTTGATGCTCGTCATCGTATCCCAAGTGCGTGGATCGATGCTCATGATGTCAATCAATGGATTGTCTGGTCAAGACTCGATTATTTTACAGACCGCCGTCATAGATCTGGTATATTGCTGAGTGCGGCGTTAAACAACAAACAAACAAACATTGGCAAACATTGACCGATATCTCTCCAGGTTGTCATGGCCCAAGCGACCCACCTTTATTTCGACCACCCCTATGAGCCTGACCCCGAGGAGATGGGGTACTACTGGGCCACCCGCTTCACAGATTCCCAGAAGACGTTTGGATTTATGCCGGAAAATATTTACGAAAATATCGACACAGCTCGCAGCGGGAAGCCATTGACCCGAGAACAAGTTTGCGGGGATCATAGCCAGAGTTGTCCCCCTTTGAAGAGCAGGGAAAATATTGCAGGTACGTCCGTTCGAGACCATTCGTGCCATTCCGGGACAAGCCGAATAATAGTAACGGAAAGGGACGAGTGGTGACGAATGGAGGCGATATAAGGCCTCTTGTAAGATTTTATGGGAAATGAACGCTTTGAGTTTGTTTTTCGCAATGCATACATAATGTTAATGCCGCCGAAAAAAATTCATTTTGATGGTTAAAATAATCTCAAAATATTTGAAAAACTGAAATGATGAAATGAAACACTCAAACACAAATGTATGGTGTCAAGTTTTTAAAGGCCTACACCCAGTAACTTCAGATTTATGAGAGACATTTCCACCACCGGCCCAATTAAACCTCATAGCTCCTGTTCTGTTGAAAACGTTTCATTCAGTACTTTTTATTTCGACCTACCGACCAAATATTTTAATTAAATAAATCTCCACCTACTCAAGTGCAATTCGCAGAAAATTTCACTGTCGAGAAAGATAATGTTTTGTAATAAATCTGTCAGCTTGTCTGTAACGTGTGGTCAGTAGACATTAAGAGTTCTTCACTCACTGCCGAGCTTGACACGAGCAGTATCATAGAACTATCAACAAACAGACCAAGGAGCCTTGCGGGATGAGAGAAACAAAGCTTGATCACAAACATATTATATTCCCTTGAAAAATCAAAATTTTCGTGCTGTCTAATAGAGTGAAATAGGCACCGTTTGTAAACAGGAGAGAGCTTTGAGGTTGAAGCGCTAAGGGCTATTAGATTACTAGATTTCCTCATACTTTCCACGACTGTCACGGGAGTACACCCGGATGTGACCTTGTGCTGTACTTGTACCGTTATTAACCTCCAGGAATCCAGGGTCAACTGTGGAGCGAGACAGTCAGAACGTCTGACGACATCGACTACAGACTCTTCCCCCGGATGTTGGCGCTAGCTGAGAGGGCGTGGCATAGGGCATCATGGGAAAAAATGTCCGACAAAGAAGCACGCAACCGGGATATGACAGCTGATTGGGAGTCATTTGCACGTGCAGTCGGTCGTCGAGAACTTCACCGTCTGGACAGTCTCGGTGTGAAGTACAGAATTCCCCCGCCAGGTGGCAGGTGAGTTCGTCACGTGGGTTTCACTCGGGATGCAACTTCTCACCAGGGGTCATTTGGCATTGCGCACTTTCCCTTAGCACGCATGCGCACAAGTCTGTTCTGATTGCATGCCGACAAACTGTTTCAAACTGTTTTTAGACTTGGAAAAAAGTTTTACTTTAAGTAAATAAACTTCTGGTAAGTAAACATTAATGTGTCTGAAATGGTACTTTGACATGATTTCAGGAGACATTTGTAAATACATTGAGTCGCTATAATCTTGAACGCGAAGAAGTCTTTCATCCAGTGTAAGTTCTGTATGGGATGTGGGTAAAGGCAGATCAAATAAATGATAAAAAGTCTCGTTGTCAGTCTGTTTCCAATAATTCTCATATAAGATTTTCCTGGTGTGTTTTCGCGCAGTACACAAAGTCTTTAAAAGGGTTTGTCTTCGAGTTGGGGCTTAGAAGATTTTCGCTTCGAAGACGCGCCCTTGTGTCATATTCGGAGATAAACTGCATTTAAGATGTTAGAGTTAATATCCTTTCAAGGGAGGCAACTCTTCCGAGCGTATTGGTCGTTTGGTTGAGCACTGCTTCTTTCACATCCGCAATCGACGACCTGTTCCTCATTTACTGTTTCAATACACCACTGTCCATAATTGCCCAATTTAGCCTTCTTAGCTTGCGTATCTTCATGTCTTTACATATCCGATTTCCTGACCGAATGTCAGGCATCACCTGTACATAAACTGTACTGAAGTGAATAATGCTCAAAGGGTTGCGTCTCGCTTCTGCAACTGAGACACGTTTTGTTTGTTTTTTGTTTGTTATTTAACGCCGCACTCAGCAATATTCCAGCTATATGACGGCGGTCTATAAATAATCGAGTCTGGACCAGACAATCCAGCTATTGACATCATGAGCATTGATCCACGCAACTGGGATCGATGACATGCATCAACCAAGTCGATCCCGTTAGTCGCCTCTTACGACAAGTATAGTCACTTTGTGAGCTGACGCGACAGGTGACACACTTGGGGCACCACATGAACAGAAGAAAATAAATAGTTACCTGAAACAGCATTATATAAAAAAAATTTACTCTTTGGTTTACAAATACCCCAAAAGACTGGACCCAAGTGAGCAAAATAGATGTGAGAAATGTGAGAAAACACTTGGCGACTTAAACAAAAATACCTGGATCCCTGGGAACGACTAGCATTCCTGACGTATAGTGCTTACTGGTGTGTTTACTCTCTAAGTTGAAATCTGACTCAAAGCTATGGTAGTGATAATGAGACCTTATGCACTTGATTACAGAGGCTGACGTATCACGACATTACCGCATGATAAAAAAGATGTACATATGCGGATGCAGAGGTATCCTATACACCGATTTTCCGGTGTGGATTCAAAATTGAGTGTAAAACGTGTAACTGTCTTCCTTCTGTCTTTGGTAGGATCGAGGACGGCATCCTGAAAACAACCTCCTCGTTCCCCGGTCTCCCGGTCCAGTACAGTCAAGATGGCGGACAAACGTGGTACTTGTCCACAGACGACGTCATCATCAGCAACAGTGACCCCGTCCTCTTGCGAACAAGGTGAGATCGTGACCCGCTGTCATAAGGGCTGCATCACCACAATAAAAACAGTGTTTTGCTTCCGTTCATGTATGAGAGGCTGTTGAAAAATGGATATCACAATGAATACGTAAAGTGATCTTCCTTCGTTGAATGTGGATTTTGAACAAGCATCATTTTACTGTGGTCACAGTTCTGACGTTTACACATTTCCGAAGTTCAATGTCTCTTGAAACCTCTGTGTTAATGGACACATCTTCATCTTGTTTGTTTATTGTATAACGCAGCATTCAGAAATATTCTAGTCCAAACAATCCAGTTATTGACATCATGAGCATCGATCTAGGCAGTGGGATACGATGACATGCATCAACTAAGCCTGCGAACCTGACCACCCGATCCCGTTGGTCGTCTCTTACGACAAGCATGGATTGCTGAAGACCTATTCTAACCCGGATCTTCACGGGTCTCCTTCTTCATGAGTCTGTCCGGAGAACGGAAAGTCGGTGGTTCGATTCTCATACCAAATGGTGGCACTTGCCTGGCGCTCGGCATTAAGGGGATAAAACAAGGACTGGTCGTCTCTAAGTCAGTATACTGTGTCTGATCGTGCGTGGGGCATCCATATTGCACTACGGCATGGTATCTCAGTGGGCTACCACTATAACACGGACCTAATTATGGACAAATACAACTAGCCACACACACATAAGCATGCTCGTAAAAACAATAAATGCAATAATCTTGAATGTGAGGTTAAACCCAATTTCACTTCACCAAAACTGAAAAGTGACAAAAAAATAAGACCACTTTTCTGACTGAGGAATATTAGAAGATAGTTTCCAACTGTACCTAACTACGTTCTTGTTTGGATTCAGATCTGCTGACTTGTCAAGGAACAGCCGTGTTGTCACACTCCACCCAAGTAAGTTAGATAAATGTGTACCTGACTGACAAATGACGGTGTTTCCTACTGTGCCACAGAACCCTTCAAGGTGAAGGGAGCGGTGGGATCGCACAGTGGTTAAAGCGTTCGCTCGCCACGCCTAAGGCACGGGTTCGTTCCCCACACGAGTATAATGTGTGAAGCCCATTTCTGGTGTTCCTTACTGTGATAGTTTGCTAAAAGCGACGTAAACCCATTCTCACTCACTCTTTCAGGGTGAATACTTCAGAAGCGCTTGACACCCCTTTGAGCAATCTTCTGTTGTACAGAGTCGCATCCTCTTACTGTACCAGGATAGGCCTATCGTGGGTTCGAGCCAAGACTTCGTACAGCTCATGATCCAAGTTTTGTCGTTGGCATTACCAAAGTGATGAACTACTGTCATTTGCCATATATTTGTCTTCCCTCTCATCGTTTGCCCACACAGATGGATAAGAGGCCAGATTATGACGTAATGGATATTTTTGGACCTTTTACTTGTTTCTTGTTAGAGGAGTAAATTTTATACATACACTGCTTTACAGTCATTATTTTTGTCACATTTCATTTTTTTGTACTCAACGGATTCGTAGACCAAGTTTTATAAAGTCTGGCCTGACTCATTATGTTCACATTCGTTTATATATAAATCTATATTTATAGAATGAGTAAGTATATTTTTACGCCGCTTTAGCAATATTCCAGCAATATCACGGCGGAGGAGACAAGAAATAGGCTTCAAACATTGTACCCATGTGGGTAATCGAATCCGGGTCTCAAGCGTGACGAGCGAACGCTTTAACCACTTGGCTACTCCATTGCCCCTATCTTTCTTAATGATACAAGGACATCATAGGCCTGTGGTGTTATAACTTGTTATACGTGGTGGAGGTTATTTAATTGTTTAGGATAAATTTGACAAAGATTCAATATCAAATTGCATCGATATCAAAACAATTTGAAATTATTGTATATTTGTGGTCCTTTTATATTATTTTGTTTCTAACCACTTCTGTTGACCTTAAATGTCATACCTCAACATAAATATATACCTTGAGAAATTATAACACATTTATTTTTCAGCACCATTAGTGCCTATCGTAAATCAGCCAATCGTCGACAACGTTGCTCAGAGCCTCGTTGTGAAGTACGCCGTTCTTGACAACTTTAAAAATGGCGCTAAATCTTTCATTGCCCAAATCTCGTTAACCAACAAAGGAGCTCACGATATTCAGGCCGGAAACTGGGGTCTGTATCTCTTCAGCATCTACAAGATAGAACCCGACTATCCAAACGGGTTCGTATTCGAAGCTACGAAAGTCAAATTCACCCACATAGATGGGTGTTTGTTTAAAATGGAAACAGTCCACGGCTTTGAGCCCATCAAACCAGGTGAACAGCGGAAGTTGAAGATTACTATCCAGAACTGGTCCGTATCGCGCACTGACGTGATGCCAAACTGGTACATTTGGGCGGAGGGTATGAAACCTCGAATTATTTCCTCCACCACGGGAGAAGGGCTGAGCTTTGTGGCGGATTTCGACACTCCCAACAAATGGAAACGGTACAATACGGATAACTTCAAGGACTACTACGACCCGTACTCACCAGCAACACGGTTCCGACGGAACGAAAAAGTCCATGACCTCGGGACTGCGCCTCTTCCCATCATTCCAACACCGGTTTCCATGGAGACGGGAAAGCAGGGCACCGTTTCCCTGGCAACTTGTTGCTGGGTCATCGTCAGCCATCCGATGTTCATGAATCAAGCCGACTACCTCAGACGTAAGTCTTCTGAGAAAACCTCCAATTTCCAATTAAGACTTGACTTCAATATGTTTAAATTGCTTTATAAACGGAGGAATCACGCAAAGTGCACACCGCTTTTTACGTTTATGCCTTAAAAATATATTGAAGTCAATTCTTATAAATATATACGTCAACAATAACAACTGTTCACAGACTTCTTATTCAGTCGTTAACCCACAAAAACGGTTGACAATAATACGAATTAGGGACATTGTTCAGCGCATCAATGCAAGAAACAGTATTCCGTTAGTCGGCGTGACCTAGTCTTTTCGGTTTATAGAAACATTAGCGCTAAAGAAACAGTTTTGTAGCGATTCAAATGCCACGAAATCACTTACTTATTTGTTTACGATCTCCCTTTCCCCAGGGTATTCCCATCCTTGATGACGATGCTAATAATGATAAATGTAGAGGGAAAGGGACAAGGGGCTCCAAGAACACCAATTCTTACTGCAAATCAAGGATGATTCCCATGGTCTAACGTCCGCCTCCATGATCTAGTGGTAGAGCGGAAGGTCCGGGTGTCTATCCCCGCCCGCGTCATACCAAAAGACGTTAAAAGATGGTACTTGTTGTTACCGTTCCTGGTGCTCGGCACTAAGGGGATAAACAAGGACTAGTCGGTTCGGAGTATAATTTGTCTGCGTGGGGTATTCCAAATGTATTTTTGTTTTGTTTGTTTGTTTGTTGTTTAACGCCGCACCCAGCAATATTCAAGTTATATGACGGCGGTCTGGACCAGACAGTCCAGTGATTGACATCATGAGCATCAGTCCACGCATTGTGATACGATGACATGCATCAACCAAGTCAGAGAGCCTGACAACCCGATCCCGTTAGTCGCCTCTTACGACAAGCATAGTTACCATTTAAGGCAAGCATGGGTTGCTGAAGACCTATTCTACCCCGGACCTTCACGGACATTTAAAGGTGAATTACTGTAGTACTACGAGCCGAAATGGATCTGCATCTAATGACGGAAGGTTTCTGGACAATAATCTCTGAGATATATGATGTGGCATGCCGTTTTTATGAATTGATACGTTCAGACAGTCTTCAATTCAATGAATTTATAAACGTTGGGAACAAAGCCAACACTTAAAAAGAGTTTTAAACCCAAATTATGAACTGTGGCCATCGGCCTTTCCCTGGAATGGATAAGAGCTGGTATTTGTTGACTTTTGCATATCTGTGAACATTTAGAGATGTGTGTTCATTTTCAGAGTGAAAATATGACGTTAAGAGTTTGTAATTATTGACTTGAACTGTAAATCCCCTCCAAAGTTGATTTTATCCTTTTGACAACTGACAGACACTCTAAGATACCGTCCTTGCATTCAGTTGGTTTACCTTGTGTCTTCAACAGAGAGCATGATAGACTTTGGCATGGAAGAACCGAAGATGTCGGATGAGAAACCCCCGAAACAGTATATCCTGATCAAGTTTGCCGAAGCTGGTGTCGAGGTTAACGGTAACATATCCTCGTCCCCAGACGCTTACACTTTAACTGTTGACCCTGGACCAGAAATAATAGAGGTCACGGCCGTAGCGACATCCGGGGCCTTTTACGGCATCCAAACCATCCTCAGCCTCGCTTTGAAACATCCAGTGAAAGGCACGATACCTGGTATGACTGTGAAGGACGAGCCTCGTTTTGAGTTTCGGGGCATGCATTTAGACGTTGGACGGAATTTCCATTCGCTTGATTCCGTTCTGACACTTCTAGACGTTATGGCGATGTACAAGCTTAACAAGTTCCACTTTCATCTGACGGACGACGAGGGCTGGAGACTCGAGATCCCAGGTCTTGAGGAGCTAACCATGGTTTGTTTGTTTGTATATTTGTTCGTTTAATGCCGCACTTAGCAATTTTCCACCCATATGGCAGCTGCCTGGACCAGACAATCCAGTGATTGATATTATGCGCCAACAGCTTCCCGTGACACGCAATCAACCAAGTCACTGAGACTGACCATCTGATCCCTTAGTCTCACTGAAGACCACCATAGTTTTCAGGGGGCCTATTCCAACTCACGGAGGTGTGTAAAACTATCAGATGTACTTTTCAGAAACGGGTGGGCCATTGTTCTGAGACGAAAACTGTTTTGTTATGTTTCAGTCTCGATGAGAAAGGCGTACATTAGTCACTGATTTACAAATTTTGTTCAACAGTTGCCTCCCTTAGCCATACAAGGATCGGCTGGTTGTTTGTTCGAATCCCCAGATTCCCTCTGATAGAAATGACTGGTTAGTCGGTACCATATCTGTACCACATTACCACATAATTACGAACGTTCCTTAACATTGCTTAGGGTTTCATAATTACCGACCTAGGGTTAGTCGTCGAAATATGATTTAAATGGGAAAACATATTATTCAAATTTAGGGATCCCTTCAATAAAACATAAAACCACATACCAATGTACGAAACGTGCTGCATTTTAAAGTATACTAGAATTACAAGTCAAAGAGTTAATGCCCTCACCATATCGATCTAAATTTACCTAATTTTTTGGTACTACTGAAAATTAACAAGCTCGCGAGACTTGCTCTCTGGATGCAGATGGTTGGTTATTTTTGAAGTAATTTGGTTGACATGATGAAATATGAAAATTAAAAAACAACAACACGAGGGTTCTTGACATAAATATATGTTTCCTTTTTCTAGGTTGGTGGCAGGAGATGCCACGATCTGTCTCAGACCCAGTGTCTGTCGCCCCAACTCGGGTCAGGACCCTTCTCCAACAACTCCGGTTCCGGTTACTACACTAAAACAGACTACCAGACCATCCTCGGCTACGCAGCCGAACGTCAGATCGAGGTCATACCGGAAATCGACATGCCCGGACATGCGCATGCAGCTATCAGAGCTTTGGAGGCCAGAAGATTGAAACTTTTAAGCGAGGGGGATTTTGAAAATGCTGACATATACAACCTCCGTGATCCGCAAGACACGTCCAAGTATTCCTCGAATCAGATGTTCACTGATAACGCTGTCAACCCCTGCATCAACACAACTTACACATTCATACTATATGTGATGTCGGAGATAGAAAAGATGCACAGAGATATCAATCCGCTGCGGACGTTCCACTTTGGTGGTGATGAGGTCGCCGTCGGGGCATGGGTCAACTCCACCGCCTGCCAAAGATTAAAGCAGTTTTCCCCGCGGCTGAAGGAGTACATGATCCAAAGGGCGTCCCTCTTCTCGTCTGACCTTGGCGTTAACCTTGGCTCGTGGGAGGATGGCTTGACGGCCAGCGGAAATGAACCCTTTGACCGAAGTCTGCTCATCAACAAGGCGGTGTACGCTAACGCCTGGGACAATGTCTGGGAGTGGGGCACGGCGCCTCGAGCCTACATCTTTGCTAATTCAGGGTACAAGGTAGGTAAAGTGCTTCTCTGTTGGGTAATATGACTGGCCATTTCCTATGTTGGTGTGGGCCCGGAATTTGTTTTGAAAGAAATAATTTGTTCCAGAAAATACTCGAAAAAATGTAAAAAAAATTGTCAGCTTCCCGATCGCCCCTTCGCCATGAAGGGTTCAATGGCACATGAGGAAACACTAACTCTTGTCAGTGAGATACACATTGATCGAACCTACATGGGTGGAGTGTGACTACTGTTCTTTGGCAAGTCAGCAGATCTGAATGCATACAAGAAAGCATTTAGGCCCCTGATGTTTGTCTGAAACATATTACTGTGTCCGTCAGTGCTTCAAAAAATACAAGACCCGTGAAGATCCGGGGTAGAATAGGCCTCCAGCAACCCATGCTTGCCGTAAAGGCGACTAACGGGATCGGGTGGTCAGGCTCGTAGACTTGGTTGATGCATGTCATCGATCCCAATTGCGTTGATCGATGCTCATGATGTTAATCACTGGATTGTCTGGTCCAGACTCGATTATTTACAGACCGCCGTCATATAGCTGAACTATTGCTGAGTGCGGCGTTAAACAACACACAAACAAATCAAAACATACAAATTGTGTCTCTGAAAGGAGACGCCAAAGGATTATTGTTTTACCCACAACACGTTATGTTTCCGAAGTTGCAACATGTTCAGTTGGTGGTCTATTTTGTTTGGGTAAAACCTGATAACATTTTTCTTCTATCGTTCGTTTAGGTATTCATAAAAAAAATTGAAAACAGCAGAGCATATATGACAGTTTAAATCAGATAGATGAAAGTAAAATATATGGGCCCAAACATTGGAAGGACAATCAAGGGCAACTGCAGGGTAAAAGCAAATACACGCCCATGTTTGATGGTGGCTAAAAATAAAACAAACACGAAGTGGTTATTCGATGGTGATACGGGTACAGTTGTGTATAGGACCTTAAGTTGCAGTGTTTCGGCGTCTGTTTACAGCCAAATAACGTTTCGGTAACGTATGTCATTTTTGGGTCAAATCAAATTTTCAAGTGTATATATAACTTTCGTTTTTACATACCAACTTTTTTAAGATTTAGTGACCACGGTCTTGTGGTAGAGCGTCCGCCAGGAGAGCGGAAGGTCCGGGGTTCGATCCCCGGCCGCGTCATACCAAAAGACATTAAAAGATGGTACTTCTTGTTACCCTGTCTGGCGCTCGGCATTTAGGGGCTAAAACAAGGACTGGTCGGCTCGGAGTAAGTATACTGTGTCTGAGTGGGTTATTCATGTTAAACTGCGGCATGGTATCTCAGTGAGCTAGCACTATAAATCGGCATCAATCCGGACTAGTACAAGCAGCCACACACACACACACACACACACGTGCATGCACGTCGCTACATAAGTATAATAATCTTGGACGCGACGTTAAACCCAATTTCACCTCACCTCACTTTAAGATTTAGTTAACCTTTCTCCAGAGATGAGTGAGAAAGCGGTCTTTCAGAAACATCCCAAACTATACAGAGGAATAATGTAGGACACAACACTCACTCACTCACTCACTCACTTGCAGGTGGTGATGTCCCAAGCGACCCACCTGTACTTTGACCACCCGTATGAGCCGGACCCGGAAGAGAGAGGGTACTACTGGGCCACCCGATACACCGACACTAGGAAGACGTTTGGCTTCATGCCAGACAATCTCTATGGCAACATCGATGTCCAGAGAACCGGCAAGCCTATCACAAGGGCAGACGTTTGTGGTCAACACGACGAAAAGTGTCCATCGCTGACCGCTCCGGAGAATATTGTAGGTAGGTCATAAGAAGAATAATATGTATCTTAACCTGCAGCTCAAAGGCCTTTTTTTAAGTAATACAGTAAGTGAGTTTGGTTTAAGGTCGCTTTGAACAGTATGTCTGTGATAATGCGGCGTGTCAGCTTGATGTAAAAGGAAAAACTCAAATGATGCAGGCTTACATTGATTGATTGAGTTTGGTTTTACGCCCCTTTAGCAATACTCCAGCAATATCACGGCGGGGGACACCAGAAATGGGCTTCACACATTGTACCAATGTCGGGAATCGAACCCGGGTCTTCGGCGTGACGAGCGAACGCTTCAACCACTAGGCTACCCGACCGCCCCTGCAGGACTTACAAGTTTAACACGATTGGGAGGCCATGAAACACCTCTCCCACCCACTCTTATGCACAATTGAGTGATTCACGGAAGCTGTGGTGGGTGGTCTGGTGGTTGAAGTGTTCGCTCGTCACGACGAAGGACAGGATTCTGCTCATGGGTACAATGTGTGAAGCCCATTTCTTAGTCCCTGGCCGTGATATTGCTGGATTATTGCTAAAAACGACATAAAACAAAACTCACTCACTCACAAACTCACTCACCCATGTCTTTCCCCATCCTAGGTATGCAAGGTCACCTGTGGTCAGAGACGTCGCGGACATCTAACGAGATGTTCTACATGATCTTCCCCCGACTGCTGGCTCTAGCTGAGAGGGTGTGGCACAAGTCCTCATGGGAAAGCATCGAAGATGCCACGCAACGAGAATCGGCAAAGAGTATTGACTGGGAGAAATTTGCCAATTCTCTTGGGCACCAGGATTTACTCCTCCTCGACAGGATGGGCATACCATACCGTATACCTCCCCCGGGAGGCAGGTAGGTCTCTTGGATGTTTTCATGGATCATAATAATGATCATTATATTGAAGATACCTATTTATGTATTGTTTATAATTATTGTTTATGTAGAAATGAATATCTTAACTGCGGCCCTGCATGTATATTCGACCACGCTATGAAATAAAAAGTAAGTTTTGGAATTGAGGGATATACAAGTGAAAAGATTAATTCTTTTCCCTCCCTGATTTAAATTGGATGCATACGACGTGCAAATACTAATTGAGCGACAGGTGAAAATGTGACACACTTAGTGATCAGTTAACAGCGTAGAAAAATCAATAAAATTTTTAGTTTTCGTTAGATATTCAATATGAATATTAATAATATGTAAAGGCTATATTTGACGCAGATAAAGCATGTATTGTGGATGTACCCTGCTAAACATTAGTCAGATACCGATGTAATCTATAGAAAACTTAAATAAAATTGTGACCTGGGTGTAAAACTTTGTTCCAGAGTGTTTAAAGACGTGCTGATTGCTACAAGCCCGTTCCCTGGTCTGCCGATAGAGGCAAGCTTTAATGGCGGCAGGACATGGACAGAGGTCACGAGAGACGGAATCAAAGTCAAGAACGGCCAGACTGTCACATTGACAACCAAGTAAGCAATTACACTTTCTGAGACGGCACCGTTACCTTTTTTGTGGGAGCCTCGGTGGCTGAGTGGGTTAGATATGTACTTTACTAAGAAAGTGTTATCCCAAATATAACATTTGTTACAACTTCCAGTAATAAAGATATTATTACTGCAGCAAGCTGTTACCAACGTTAGCTTGTCCTTTGACCACATGAAGTAGTTGCGCAGCGAATGTACATTACATAAGACGTGTATTTCGTGCGATATACGATGACGGTTGGGGGGCGGGGGCGGTCACACAGCACGTCATTGTGCACACTGCACGTGATTTTACTGCGAAAAGGGAGACTGTACAATTAATAGGATTGCGTGGTGCTTTTGATTTCTCAATGTGCAGCGGAAAACAAAGAGGATTCGTTATTTGGTTGACTGTATTTTAATGTCTAGTTCATTCATTGGTGTTTGTCAAACGCGCTCATCAAGTATCCTGGTTAGAATTGATATTACAATCACTTATAATAATATAATATAAAGGATATAAGTCAGTTCTAAGCACACCACCAAATCATATAAACTGCGTGTTTGACAACCTTCGAATTAAAACTCATTCGAGTAAAACCACTTCCGTCAGGTTTGATATACGAGTAAGAAAATTGATCCTCTAAAAACTATAAATTTATAGAAATTATTAGATAAATCCAAACTGATGACTACCATATTCCCAATTACAACGTACTTGAATGGAATGTTATTCTAGGAAAAATCTACGGAAGTTTTTTATTGAAATTTATAGATCGCCCGCCATTTTAAGGCGCTTGTACACATTCAGCGTGTGTCATCAATAGCGATGGAACTAAACAAACAAACCAACAAAACAACATGTTAGGAACGTGTAAATAGTCCCGACAACTGCCAATTACCAAGTGCCAAGTTTCTTTAACCAACGTCAAGGGGTCCCTGTGAGTCATGACAAATGGCTTGAACTTTGACCAGTGGCGACATCACCCCTCTCAGAAGCGAAGACGTTGGTGTGGTCTCTTCCAAAGACTGGATTTATTTCACTGATAGATTTGAGTATCTCAATGCTAGTTAAGTTTTAAGTATTTATATCAATATAAAGAAAATGTGTTTCCTTTTTCGTTACAGATCCGCCGATAATACAAGACGAAGTCGTGCAGTAACATTGGAGGTGTCAGGAATAACTGTTGTCGCTGCTGGAGGAGCACACAAACCGATGACGTCATGCGCAACTTTTATTGTGACACTTTTAGTTTCAGTTTTATTTAGATATACCAATCACTGACAAAACATTCCCTCGTAAACAGACAAACCTGGTCACAACGATTGTATATAAGAAAAATGCAGAATTTACCCTTCTTGATGATCGTTTAATTTTCTTTCACGCATATTCATACAAAACATAAATTGAGGGGCAAAGTAAAGTACACCAAGTTTGTTTTAACGAAATGGAAAATTGAAAGTATTAAATTGAATTTGATTATATCTATTTAACCATCACTCATTCCTGCAACAGTTTGTAAAAGGTAATCTGTGGCTGGGTAGTTTTGTGTTAACATAAACTGGTTCAATGAGACGTGCAACCTCATGATCCCTACTATGTTTAAAATGATGTACATTTGTGCCGAAATAAAAGCAAATTTTTATTGATTTTTAAAGATAGGACCATCAGCAATTGTGTGTTATACGCATTTTAAGAAAAATAAATATAAGTTTAAATCAATTTATATTTTAAGGAAATAAGCCATGTTGAAGTACAGTCATTTTTTTTATGTAATATCTCAAATCAAATGTTTATTGTATGATAGGCCGTAGGCTCAAATACACGATGTGGATACAATACAGTACAGGATAATTTTACAAATAGACTCACATGTTTCATTTCTGTACATTTCTGGTCTTGAGGCACATTTGAAATATAACATAACAGATTTTAAGTCTTGATAATTTTAGGTCGCCATAAGGCGAATAAATTGTTGGACTGAATGAGAATTACAAGGATGGACATATAACGGTGAAATATGGTTAACTTAAGATATGTTCAATTGAGAATCAAACATACGATGAAAATAAACTGAGAGGTATAGTTTCCTTTGCCCCCCCCCCCCCCCCCCCCCCCCCCCCCCCAGTTTATAGAGTACACCTTAACCATTTGAAACAAGAGATTCATTGTTAGCCTGTGAAATTCGGTTGATGACATGACGCCTAGGATTAGGTGGTTCAATTGAACAAAAACAACAGCTTCTATGAAGGTCACAAAGAACATAGTGATCACAACATGTGACAAACATGACGTCATCATCACCAGCCTGCATCACGTCTTGTTCCTTGTTCGTTTTTTCTTTCCACAATTCAGCTTTTTATACATTTTTGCAACAGCGTATTCCCCCTTGTATATGTGGATACGCACTATGCGTACTGTCTCATTCAAAACATCCCATACAACGACGTGTGTCAAACACGCTGTTTGTGACTTTATCCGGTTATTTTTTCACAGTTCAAAGGTGTGATCCTAATGCTAAAAGCATTCGCTCGTCACTCCGAAGGCCTGGGTTCGATTCCCCCACATGACAACAAAGTTTGAGGCCCATTCCTGTCCCCCGTTGTGATATTGCTGATTTATTTCTAAATGTGGTGTAACTTTCCACTCACGGGGTGGTCTAGTGGCCGAAAGCTGCAAGTCTCTGCTAAGTTGCATCAAAGTCGTCGGTTCCACCACGTGGAAAACGTCAACGACCTACTCCTTGTTTAAATTTTATTACGTCCCTTAGACGCACCAGGATCCGCTGATTGTAGTTCGAATCCCATGCTGGCCTTGATTCTGACCCGAGACAGCATTAAACCCAGCTCACCCACTCACTCAACACATGGTGAGAACTAGATGAATGGTCGGCCTTCGTTACAGAAGCGATTGCATGAAACGAAATTAAACCTAGTTTATAATTATATTTATGGAAACGCCCTCATGAAACTATTATTGATACTCTCTGTATGTCTGTTCTTCTACTCTAGATAACTGTAAGTAAGGACTCGTGTGTTAGTATCAATATAACTGACGTAAATAATAAACTTATCAATCTATATTGCAAAGGTTACCACTCGTGTCATTGCTAGAAGCGGACACTGAAAAAAACCCATTCGTGATATCTCGAGTCTTCCGGAAAAAATCCGTGTCAATACGAATCGCTACTCGTACCCGTCTTCTGTCTGTTTTATGATCGTTAAAACGAGCTGTTGTCTTGGCGAGTGGTGACGAATGTATCTTAAGGCAATTACCCTTGCTCTTCCCCTGTTTTCGTCACAAGACTGCGTTGTTGTGTCATGATGCCTTACAATGCGTCCAATGTTTCAAATATGTTTCATAGTGACAATCAAATGTGTTTTTTTATGTTTTCTATGTATAAAATAATGTTTGTGTGCTTTGTTTATGTTTGTAAACACTGCACGATCTGTCATTGTCAATGTCAAGTGTACCATAAATGCCAGTCTAAGCCTTCATATGAGGTTTATGTCAGTGTCTTCATCAAGCTTTTGTGTGTGAACATGGTATGTCCTATATCAGGCTGTTGTTTTATTACTTTGCATGCAGATCTGAATACCCAAACACCTGTTTTCAGTAAAAAATACATCCTAAAATAGTCAGAAAAAATACGTCTTAAAATAGTCCAATAGAAAAGTAATTAATTAACGTATCCTTCCTTTTCAAGAATTTACATTTCATTTAAAAGTTTTTCTCCCGCTCTACACCACTTAAACCATGTTCAACGGAATATTTTACGTTTATTTTTTAATTGTTTTAATCCCGTATTTTTTAATAAATAACGAAAACCAAATAATTAAGAAAGTTTCTATATTACAAATATAGTATGTGCTGTCTGTAACCAAAATTTTTTTTTATTCTTGACAAACAACATATATGAAAAGTAACTGTATCAGTATGATAGAAACTGACCTGGAATTCGGAGAAGGATTCTTCTTTGAAATTGTATTAATCCAAATATTTTGCCGCGTGTATCTTCATCAATTTCCACGTTCACACCGCATCTGGCCTCTATGTGGCTTAATCCCTTTCCGCAAATAAACATCTGTCTCTACCCATCAGTGCGGAAGTTCCGTTACATTTACTCGTGGTATCCTGGACATGTGTAGTTGTGAATGTAGCGATGGTAAGATGAAAAAATATTGACAATTGTTCAAAAGTTTTAAAAATCAAAATTAACAGAAATAGATTTCACCAACGTTCACATAGGAGCCAACCGTTTGATATTATGGGGAAGTGGTTTGAAAATTAGTTATATAAACAACGGAAATGCTGAAAAAAAGTTGTTCTCAGTTGTTACAAGTTAAATACATTGTTCTGAAACAATAATGTCTTGTGGGTACAAAATAATCAATTGCCTCTTTCGGACAAGGATTTATCTTAAAATATATCTTTTTCATCGTAATAATGTGTTAATGTCAACGTTGTACAAGGTTTAAAACATATTGACATTATTTTCTCGTTATGCGACGCGACGCTTTTTGATTTTCAAAACATTGATCCTTTTGGGGGGACCAGTGTAAGAACGTATATATGATAGCATCATGTGTGAATGTCGTAAAATTCATAACTTGCCTTAAACATGCCATCTTCAGTTTACGTTATTGTCTGCTAACGTTGCCCCTTGCAAGCAAATGGGGACGACTTTGTCCTTGTGACGTATGGACAATTGTAGTTTGTCTAATGAAATGATGTTTCTGTAGTTCTAATTTAAATCTAACGCTTTGGTTGACGGTAGACAATGTGTATTTACAACCAATGTATTTTATTGTATTTTTCCCAAAAGATTTAAGCCATTGATGTTTAGACAGGTAGCCTGGTGGTTAAAGCGTTCGGCCTTAACGATGAAGACATTGGTTCGACTGCGACATTGGTAAAATATTTGCGTAGAACCATGCTCACTCACTCTCCCCAAGCATTAGGTTTATGCACATATCCAAACAGATAAAAAGAATCTGACAAACATATACAGCAGGAAAAGAGTTTCAAAAACCATTCCTGGTTTATTTACATATATCTCAAACATTCATGCATCTTTTTTCAAATATCCACATGTGACATTGATATAATTTAGATAAATATTTTTTAAAAAAACCACTCTGAGGTACAAGAACATTGTACATTTCCCAAGCACTGAGTCAGGTCAAATGGTACAAATACTAGATATTGCTATGGAGGAGTAGCAACGCATGTCATTAGGTAACCGATTTCGGTTTCTCGATGTCAAAGAGTATGTCATTTGAAAACACAACTGTGTTTCAGAAAATAAATACTGGATACGATTTATGAAAATGGCTTTTTTGCATGGAAAATATATACCATAGAAAGAGGCGCTGAACCGTTCTCCATGTGTATTTACAACTCAAAAGAGGTTAAAGAACACCCGAGTTTTTTCATGTGTTTTGTTTGTTTGTTGTTTAACGCCGCACCGAGCAATATTCCAGCTATATGAGAGCGTCATTTAAATAATCGAGTCTGGACCAGAAAATCAAGTTACTGACATCAGGAGCACCGATCCCCGCAATTGGGATACGATGACATTCACCAACCGAGTCACCGTGCCTGACCACCCGATCCCGATAGTCGCCGCTTACGATAACCGTGGGTTGCTGAAGAAAAATTCTATCCCGGATCTTCTCGGGTCGTTTTTCATATTACAATAGTTAGTCTGCCATGGCTGGCGGGCATTGTAACACCCAGCCTTCTAATTGTGGTGTTCTTTAACGTGTTTAGAGTAGTATATATTGACCAGACAGCACTAAATTGTTGAAAAATCTTTGTTTATTTTACAAAACACGAATATTGGTGTTAGCCTTTGAGATTTTATTTCCTGTTAATAGGATTACAAGGTGTATTAGCACATATCAGACACTTATTAATGATAACTTACTGTGAATAAGCCTCAAAAGGAAACAGTCCGTCAGGAACAGAGATGCCTATTACACATGTCTAGATTTTTTTGTGTTTTGTGGAAAAAGTTCATATCAATATTTTCTTCCTGCACGACAATTCTAAGGGATAAAGGAAGTGTGAGTATTTATGTGAGATAGTGTGTAAAAAGCTATGCTTGTGGTTTTGTCACACACACGTACAAAGCCAGGTATATATGTATATGTTTACTAAATTGCTCAATAAACTGTCTGTTTTAAATCGTCACCCGTTGTTATTTCAGTGAAGTTTCCAAACGTTTTCCCTTCAAACAAGGGTTCTGGGATTGGTCACTCGCAAGTTCTTTCCTTAGGAGCCAGTGTATCGTATACATATTATCAATATTGGAATATTTTTTTGCGGAATTTGTATCTGTCATTGCTATATGTCCTTCTCTGGGGAGGGGCCAAGCACTTTATTCAAACCGGGCAAAATAAAGTATACACCCATGTTTAGTGGTGGCTAAACATGAAACAGACACAAACAGGTTATTTGATGTGATGTATTTGATAAGGTATCATAGTTGTGTTTTGGACCTTAAGTTTGCAGTGTTTCGGCGATAAAGTTTGTAATTTTTTCATGTATGTAGTACTATGTACTTTTTTTTCCCCGGCATTTTATTATTTTCGTCAACACCAACACACCACGGAACCTTTTTCTAAGATGGTCGAGTGTAAGTTAGCCTGGGAC